GTTCGGTATCGCCCACGGCATTGTTTCACGTGCATGGAGAGCGTTCCAAACCTTGTGCTGCTGCCCGAAGACGAGGAGGTGGCCGACCAAGGACAACTACACCAAGGGACGACCGCTACATTGTGCAGCAGGCAAGAAGAGATCCTCGTCAGTCGGCTTCGGCTATTGCAACGACGTTTAACAGGACTCTAGGGCAAGCCATCTCACGCACTACAGTGGCAAGACGACTGCATGGTGGTGGTCTCTTCGCCCGACGACCGTTACGTTGTGTTCCTTTGACCCCCGCGCATCGGCGAGACCGTTTACGGTGGTGCCAGGAGCATGGCGAATGGACCGATGAGGAATGGAGCCGTGTGCTCTTTCGGATGAGAGCAGGTTCAGTCTGAGCAGTGATTCTGGACGCACCCTCATATGGCGAGAGGTGGGAACACGCAACTCCCCCGGAAACATTGTCGAACGTGATCGTACTGGTGGTCGAGGTGTTATGGTATGGGGAGGCATCATGTTGCATGGCCGTACTGACCTCCAGATTTTTGAGCATGGAACCCTCACCAGTCAGCGTTACTGCGACGAGGTTCTCCTACATCATGTCCGTCTTTTCAGAGCTGCAATCGGCCCTGTCATGGATGACAATGCGCGACCGCATCGAACAGCACAGGTGGAGGAGCTTCTAGAACGAGAGGATATCCGGCGAATGGAGTGGCCCGCCCGTTCCCCCGACCTAAATCCCATCGAGCACGTGTGGGATGCACTGGGTAGACGCATTGCAGCACGACCAAATGCACCAATGACGATCCAGCAATTGTCAAATGCACTGATTGAGGAGTGGAATGCCCTGCCCCAGGAACTCATTACCAACCTCGTGGAGAGTATGGGATCGCGGTGCAGAGCATGTATTGCTGTCCGTGGTGATCACACACCCTATTAGGATCCGTGTAACTTCTTTTGTAGTACCAGGATAAATCGTGAAGACTTATGTGTAATCGACATGGTTGAATAAAAATGTCATAACAATTCGTCTTATTCCGAGTTTCTGTCAGTTGCTTTCTGTACAAGGTTCTCTCTTGATATGATATGAATTTCATCGAGCTATGTTGTCTGGCAGAGGCACAGTGATCGAAAGTTGCTTTCGTCCCTAAGTTTTGCACACCAGTGTATTTACTGACCTAGCCGTTACATTGGGATCCTAATGGGGATATCATGCCACGCGAGCAACCCGTGCAATGGCTCGGAGTGTAGTGGTTTTCTTATATAGTGGAGAGTGTTATCACAACCAAAACAACTTCTTAGTTCGTTACGGTAACATAGATTGGCTTGCAGTTTTGTTAGCGGTTGTTTCCTCGTTGTTTCCTCATCCATTGGTGTGCGTTTCTACTGAAACGCATGCTACGCACCCCTCACTGTACCCCCTTCCTGCGACCCCTTCCCTCTGCCTCCCTCCAATACATGTGCTCCGGCTGAGCACATGCAGGAGAAGGAGGCAGGGCGACCTGGCACCCCCACCCTGCCCCCGCACGAGCACACGTCCAGCTGCCACGCCAGCAGCTCGTGCAATGGCTCGGAGTGTACCGAATGGTTGTCTTATATATGCTGTTATCACAATCAAAACATTGGATTGATACATCTGCACCGATCGAATCCCGGTTTGTCTAGCGGTCGTTTTCTCCTTTCACTAACCTGTTTAATCCCTGTGAAGCATTTTGCGGACGGACAGACATACAAACCGACATACATACATACCGACAAACCGACACACAAAGTTTCTGCTTTATAGAATGTAAGGATAAACCAAAAGTTGTATCTGTGTCTGTCTGCGTGTCTGTCCGGAAATTCGGCGTTACCGGAAGGGTCAGTTTGAGGGGCATGGTGAAGGGTGAGATAGGTAGGGCATGGGCCAAGATGTACGGAAGACACATAACTGAGCCAAGCCCCGCCCACTGTGGGCGGGGCGTGCGCACAGTTGTGAGCTACATAATTAAAAATTCGTAGTTCGGTTTCAAAAGAGCCCGGAGAGTGGAAAAAGTGGCAAACGATAGGCAATCAGTTGACGGACATGAAATGGATATGAAAAGGTTAGAGAGCTGAATACTACGGGGGGGGGGGAGGCTGATCCGACCGGCCCTTTATTTTTCGGGAAATGTGTGTGGGGGGAGACTCACTTCACACGCAGAAGGAGGACCGGCCGGCGAAGCCGGCCGATCCGACTGGTTTCACATAAAGCGCGTAAGGAAAAGTAAGCAATTGAAAAAAATTCGTGTGGGCTTAGCACGGCCCACCTTCCTCTATTGTGACTTACACATGGGTGATGACCTCTGTTTGGAACTCTAATTTTGATGCATAGAAAATTTTCCCAGAAAATATGACTCTCGCGTGAATCTACACATAGAAGAAATGATCAACGAGTTTTCCGAGACAGTTCCAGCTTGTGGCGGGACCACGCGTCTCTTTACCATCACTTGATTCAAGCTCAGTCAATGATCATTCGCCGCAGGGTTGCCGCCCTAATTCTCACGTTCTACCGGCGAAAGCTACGGACGACTCCTCACAGGAAATTGTGCGAATGATTGTATCAACAACCAAACTACAAGGGATCAGTTCAATAGCGCAAAGATAAACACTAATCTTCGAAACTCTCTGCCTTCTTCCACATTTATAACAACTACTTTGTATGCATTGTTTGCTATCGCCATTTTCTGTAATTGTTTCAAATTGTCCTAATTGTCGTCAGGAATAAGCAGTATCAGGCACTTCGATGCCATTCTAGGGTTCAGTTTTGAGTGAGCATACGGTGTCAAAATTTTCACAACTGTATTACCTGCAGTTGGAACGCCCTGTAGGCCTGTAGTGCTCTTTCCTCGAAGCTTCATGTTTCCTGAAAAAACAAATTGGATATGTAGCTCGAAACTGCGTTCGGACCAGCGGAGACATGCGGAAAAGTCCAAGTGGCCGCATATTCAGAACTAATAACCAGCGCGCAAAGGACATAAAAGGTAAGTCGGACTTCACCATTTCTTGACACGTTCGCAGCGGCGCCGTTTCGCCAAAAACTTCCGTTTGTCGAGCGGCGCGTTCGCGGCGGGCGACACTCAGGCAATCGTCCCGTTTATGGTTAAGCGCACTCGCAACGAATACAACTTCGCCAAAAACCACGTGATTCGTTTTTGTCCATTCTTTTTACACTTTTTCCCCTCTGCAAGGTTTATCTCATTTCTGGTGAAAGAACCAGGTATCTTGCCCCTTTTGAAGTTGAGTAAACAAAAGTAAACACGATTTGTTCCTCTTGTAAAAACCAATACTGCCTCTCCTGCTTCCAAAAATGCACAAGAAATGTTTTTAGTATTACTTCTATACTATTTATTCTATTATTTGTATATAATTGTCAGTGAAATGAAGAAAAAAAATCATAAAAAACAAGAGAAGAGGCGCGTGTACTCCTGGGAGTACACGATTGGTCTGAAGAAAAAAGTTTTCGCGTGTTTTTTTTGGCAGTACACGCTTATTCTAATGTATGGATAACATTTCTCTATTGTTTGTTTCAGTATATGCATACAATTACTATTCAAAAGAAAAAATAGCGGAAACGAGCAAAGAGGCGCGTGTACTCCTGGAAAAGCCCGATTCGCCTTGAGAGAAAAGTTTTTGAATGTTTTTTCGGGTGTACACGCCTCTTTTAATGTGTGTCTATATTAATTCTCTATTGTTTGATTAATTGTTTATATCCGATTC